AAAACAAAGCTTAATGGTTCTTTTACATTTTGACATTTCAGAATGTACAATGTAAGTTCTTTTATTTCTTTATAAAGTTCCCTGAGAAAGATGGATATTTTTGCATTTAATTATAAAATTCTGAGACTGTTAACTAGGTGTTACCTTTCAAATGCAAAAAAAAAAGATTTAAGTGACACTTATGTACAGCGCATTAAATGCAGTACATACATACATTCAAGGAAGTTCAAAGACAGAATTATGTTGGCTTAGGCCTGTATAGATAGTGGAAGATACTTTGATATTGAGATTTTATTTTCTAGGTCAGTAAATATGTATCTTGTAATATTACCCAGAGCATCTGCATAGATTTTATAATAATAAATGTCCAATAAATATTTGTTAATTCAATTAAACACTTGAGATAAATTCAGACAGCTTCGTCTTCAACATTGGCTAGACTCTCCTCTGTGTAGCACTTTGACGCTTTCTGTAAGATCTTTAATGTTTTCTCTGTGATCTGACCTTCTCTTCTACTTTCCTAGTAGCTCCTAGGCTCCTTCAATGGCTTTTCCTCCTTGTTTTGAACTCTACTGGTTGTAGAGTCCAGGTATCCATCCTTGTCCCCTTTCTCCTTTTTGTCAACACATGACCTCTGTAGGAGCTCTTGCCTTAGGCAACCTCATCCTGTGCCATGGCTTTAAAGCAGGGGTGGGGAAGGCCAGACCCATGGCTATCTAAGGTTCATTAAATCATCAGTATCAGCTAACATCACATGCTTCACCATAAGAAAAGCCATTCCGGCCAAAACATTGAAAAACCAAACCAAAATGATTGCCATTACGTGAATACTTACTCTTAGCCACCCTAGAGGACAGGCTAGACCTGCCCCTGTGCGTGTCTGAAGCTGCAGCTCTTTCCTGCAGTAGAGGGATGGCTGCTGGTCTCCTACTGCTGACCCTGCAGTTAGCAGCCAGCGTGTAACCACGCAGCCCCCAGGGCTCCTACCCATCCCGGGAGGAGTGAATGAATTAAATAGCCTTTGCAGAGAAAAGGTACTCCACCCCTGCTTTAAAAGCTGCCAATCTATTGATTATTCTCTAATGCTTTCTGCCAGTCTTAATTGCTCTCTAGAAACTTGGATCAGTATATGTACTTGTCCAATGAGCATCATTGGGCATAGGTGCTCAATATAACTCTCAAAACTAGCATGATCTATAATTGCGTCTTCCTTATATTCGTGGGATGCAGCATTGTTCATCTGGATGCAGAAGTGAAACCATCTCGGCAGTGTCTCTTTCCTCATCAAATCTGCCAATGAGTCATTTCAATCACACCATATAAATACTTCTTTTCGTTTGTATTGCCATACTATTTTTCCATCCTTTATAATCTGCTACCACTGCACTAACCTAACTGGCCTCCCAAGATATCAGACTGAATTTTCTTAAACCCAAACCAGATGATATCATTTCTGTGATTAAAGTCACCAAATGAAATTTTGTTGTAATTAGAATAAAATTTAAATTGCTTCACGTGATTAACCAAGCTTTATACGACCTGGTTCATAAGTAACTCTCTTATCTCATCTACTACCACGTTTCTGTTTCTATTTTTCTCCAATCACTCTATATTTACTTCTGTTGATCAAAGACTGAGCTCTTTCTTGAACTCGGGCCTTTACACTGCCCGTTTCTCTGATTACAGTGTTCTTCCATCTTCTGCACATGAGAAACGTCGTGTCATGTAGATATCAACTTGGATCACTGCTCAGAATCTCATTTGTTCGACCACCCAATCTTAAATAGCCAAGAAGGAATTGTCTATCATATCACTTATTTTAACTATCAAATGGCTTTTTAATTTTTATTTGGTTGGTTGTTATTAAAATTTGTCTTAATCATTGCTATTTCCTTATTACATAGAATAGTGCCTAATACCTGAAGACACTCAATAAACATTTATTTGGGTGGTGAAACTTGATTAAATAAGCTGTATAAGGAGGAAGCAATTATTTTCCATTGCAGGACAAGGGGAAGATGAAACTATCATTAAAAAAAAAGAGAACTACAGGAAGAATCAAGTTTGGGTTGGGATTGGTCAGTAAAAATACTTATTTTTCATTCACACACACACACACACATACACACACACACAGACATATTTTTCATTCACACACACACACATACACACACACACAGTAATCTACCGGTCTAGAAAGTAGACATACATTGGTGCCTGGGGATTAGAACACAGGAAAGGTAAGAATTTCAGTTGTTTCTGTCATTAGGAGTAAGTTAAATCACAAGTGAAGATTTGGTGGAGAAGTGAAAAACGTTAAAATCCCATGGAGTTTAGGAGAGCAGATAGTCTCACCTTTCTTCCCAGGAAAGGTTGGTAGGTTTCATGCACTGACCTGGTGCTTAACAGCCTAACACATAAGCCCTACCTTTGCTGGAGAGTTCAGGTAGGTACAATAAAGGAATGAATCTAATGACTGTAGGCGTGGGGAATTGGGAAGACCATGCCAGAATAAAGAAAGAATGGGCCTTCTCAAAGAGACTAATTGCATCTGGTTGATTAGTGTCCTACAGAAATCCCTTGCTGCTATTTTATTCCCCTAAAAGCAATTGGCTTTTGTTTTATTTGATTTTTAATGAAGAAATACATGTTTTATATGCTATCAATGGATTTTGTTTTTAAGATTGTTCAAACCAAACACATCTGTATACCACATCTGGCTTGTGGGTAACTAATTTGCAACATTTGATTTAAACAGAACACCTCTGTATGTGTCTGTTGCCACAAGGCTCTTCATCCTGCTCCTGTGAACCTCTCACCTGACTTGTATGTGACTGCACCTACAAGAACATCTCTTTTAGGTCCTTTATACAGTATTATTGAAGGCATTTAACTATCATAAAGGAGCATGTAATATGACCATTTCAAAAGCTGGCAAAATAGAAGTGGGAAGCTTCATTTTTAAATAACCCAACCTTCTCCACTATGAAACTTTGAGACTTTCCAGTTGGGTGTCATTCCTTTCACATCATTCCTTCCACTTCTTTCCCTTCTCTTTGCTCTGCGACCCACTTACTGAGCCACCCGAAATTTGTCCGTTTCCAAAGGCTATTCTCAACTCTCTACAGTTCCATTTTATTCAATCTAGTCTAATGAAATAGCAATGGAACTTTTAAAAAATATCTAATGTCAATAAGAAAAGCAAAGACTGCTTCTAATCACTTTTATCAGGATAATTTGCTATTATTTATGCTGTACCACATGTGGTTTGTTCGCTAGTTTTTATTGCAATAAGAAAGAGTGTTGGCTTTTCTACATTCCAGCTCAACGTCATTTTATGTGATGACTAAAGTATGGAGCCCCTCTCTATGGAACAACAGTTTGTCTTTTAGCAACCATCTTTGGATTAAAGAATAAGCCACAAAATGATATGATATACCATAGCTATTTTATGTAAATTGCATTTTATTCTAATGACATCCAATTGTACCTAAGTGCTTACTAACATAAACTCTATGAAAACCTGGGCCATTTGATGAAGAGTTGGAAAATGTGGGTTATTTGAAAATAAAAATATTCAAAGTTTTGAATGTCAAGTTAATGATCATCCACTTAGAATAATAAATAATTAGAAAGATTTAAAAATAGCTTATAGAACAAGAAACTCTGTTAGTATTTACTGTGTCTGAGCTCATAAAGCAAAGCATTAAATGATGATCCAGGAAGTAACATCAGAACAAAACAGGGAATTAAATTGGGTTATTCTCTGAATCTGCAACTATAAAATGGGGGGGGGGGGGCGGAGAAGGAAGCAGCATTCAGCCAACTCAAGCTAACATTTCTTCCTCCCACTCCCTCTGATCTACATAATTGATGCTTGATTGTTAGTCTCCTTAAATCATCTGTATAATAGTCATAACTCTTTACCTCATGCTGAGTCAATATAGATACACATCTAAGAAGAAAAATTACAAA